AGAGCTAATCCAATGAATAGTGAATAAGGATTAAAGCATTTTGACAGTACTGTATAGATCTATTTTCATATATTTTAAAGCTATGATACCAAATTCGCAAATCTTCATTTCATTGCGTTGAATTTTTATATAATTTGACAATTTTTTTGCAGTCGCTAGTTAATCTATTATATAAATTCATTACCTTTGCCATTCGAACAGCTGTTTTGATCTCTCTTCCATTCATTTGTCGTTTTTTTAACTTTTCAATATCAACTTGACTTTTATCTTTACCATCGGCACGATCCAAGAATGTACGCCAAACTTGGGCGCGTGCTAATTCATCAAGCTCTTCATATTTTAAGACTATACTAAGCCTCTATAGAAAAATTAAAAAACGACAAAGCATCAACATTAAATATAACATTAATATAGCCCGATTAATGCATAAAACAAAAGGGCATCGTCTTACAGAATGAAAAGCCTTATCGAAACATTCAACTATAAATTGGATAAATTAAAAAAAAAATTCTAGTATATATTCGCCTAAACAAATAATGCATACCACGATTGGTTGTAAGAAAGAGAATGCCCTGATGATACTCCAACAATCTTAGGAATATTCCCACCAATGCATTGCGATTTATGTCATTTTTACTTCTTTGCTCCAAAAAAATATCAACTATAAAGAAAAACTTATAAATATGCATTTGCCATATTGACGAAAAAGCCATATAAAGCATACAAACCTTCATCAATGAGAATAACGGCATCCCAAGCACTTGCAACTTCGAGAATTCTGCCTAACTGATCTTCTAACTCCTTAGGTGTTACACCTAATTCACCAACGCTGACAGCATATAATGGACGATGCAAATATTCAGAGATGGCTTCGGCGGTTAATGTTTTACCCACTAAATACATTAATTTAAAAATAGTTGATAAATTTAATTATTCGTATAAAAATTTTAGTAAAAAAAAAGAGATATACCTCCAGGAGGGCCATGTAATAAAAAAATACATCCACCACCTTTACCACTAATCAAATCCAAACCAATTATTTCAGAATTTACTAAACTTTTAATAATTTTCTTTTTATTTGCATCCATTATTAATTCGTTGAATGCATCATCATCAAATTCAATTTCTGAAAAGTAAATTTTAAGATTAATGGTGACACTTTACATAATACAAGTTTAAAAATAAGCTTACCATACACTTGATCAACATAAAATTGGCCCCACTTTTTAGCAAAAAAGCTAAAACCGAAAAATGTAGGAGAGCACATGTAAAGCTCATCCTCTTTAACTTTATTTTGAGAGGAGGTATCATTTTGGCCATGCATATTTCTACCACCAATTCTGTAAAATCTCCTATTATTATTTGCCATGCCCATATTGTAATTTGGATTTATCTGACTAAAGGTTGTAGCATCAATCATCATACGTCCATCACCTTTGAAATAGGTAGGACCAAACCATGATGTTTTAAAAAATTTTCCTTCATATCTCATGTAATGAGAACCAATAGCCAACGTTTCAAATTTTCTACCTCTTTTTACCAATTCATCTCGTATTGCACATTCTTTTGGTAACGGAACTACCGGGAGGTTTTCGATATCTGATACACCAATGAAATAAGGAATAGTCCATGATTTAAAGCTGTTAATAAACCCATGTCCATCTAATAATTAGAAATAAAAGTTAACTAGAAACATATAAGAACATTATTTTAGCGCATGATATTTAAAAATTAAAATACTTGAATCAATATTTTCACAATTAACGACAAAGTATTGTATTCCAAAACATGTTTGATATTCGCAATTTGTAACCCGAGCACCGGAAATCTTTTCATGTATTTCGGCATAAACTTGAGTTGCTAAAATAAAGTTTAGTTTAGTAAATCATTATTAAGTATTTGATAAAAATTTTAAATGCTTACCTACTGGAAATATATACCACAAATTGTTAAATGAAATTTCATTCTATGAAAGTTTATTTAATTAGATACTTTATTATGAAAACAAATTCTATCATAATTTTTGATAAATATCATACCTTATCAATCATATTCTTAATTTGTTGTAAAGTCGCTTCAAATTCTTTTTCCAACCAATCAACTAATTGTACTAACGGATCATAACTTTCATTGCCAGCCCGACTCATTTTATTATTTGTTACTTCAGGATCCTTGCTAATATATTTCTTTAATTCTGGTAGGATCATGAATAATTCATGGGCTGATACCTAAAATTATTGATAAAAGGAAGTTGGAATTAAATTCATGATCTAATGCATTTTATGTATGAATTCCTTAATATTACTTTAGGATTCACAGAATACAAATCTTCACATTTCACAACTTCTTGTAAGATAGGTAACAAATTATTGTTGATTGTCTTTATATAAATTGAATCATCAATTTTTTCAGTTGAAAATGGCTGGGTGCCTGGTGGAGATACTAGAAGTGAAATAATAACTTCACGTTTAGAAGAAATCCTAGGCACAACAGGAGGATATCTCCTTGAATGAAATTCTTTTTACCATTTATATTTTCTTCAGACATTATAGAGGTTTGGTATCGTTAATTAGTTTCAAAGTATCTTTTTCGATTCGTGGAAATGTTTGTTATCGTTTAATTTTATAAAGGATTTCTAATGAAGTACTCGGAATCATTATTCCGAATGAGCTATCTCAGTACAATTAATTATATTATATATATACTAGTCCAATTATCATTATGGTAATTCATTTAGTGTTAGTACATATACGTAGTTACCATGATATCATGCGCAGCGCCTCACCCTAGGTATACTAATTTAAAAAAACATATTGCTTATACGTACTCCCGTATCTCTTACACTGCCCAGAAATTCCAGGCAAATTTTCATGCATTAATACCCAATCATCTTAATCAAACATCACGTTTTTGACCCCAAAAAATAATCTCAGCGATTAAATTCTGATAAATATTCAAACCCTGTTAGGTATTTTACGGC